TCCCTAGCCTTGCAGCTCTATCTCGTCTCAACTTATTTCTTGGGGTTTTTTCTCCTCCTCACACTTCTCCATGCTGCAGCCACACCCTCTACTCCTAGATCTGCTCAGTGTCTTTGTGGATCAAGTTCCTCCACTTTGAATATCCTCCTTCCCACCCTAACAGGAGGGCTCAAAACCGGCATCCTTCAGGACTTAGCTTGGCACGACACCCCGTCCCCCCTGTGAAACCTTCCCAGGCTCTTCCCGTGGATACCTTCCTATGTCATTTTCTTTTTCTATTAATATATGACAGGCTGTAGACTCGCCTGCTGTCTTTTCTGGGATACAAACTCCTCCACAACCACGTTTTATTCGGCTTTGAGGGTGGCTCAGAGTTAAGTAAGTAAACACATGCTAAGGACCCTGTTCAATGAGGGCTCATTGAAGGTCCTCAATAAATGGCAGTGACCATCATGAACAACAATGTGATGGTAAATGTGTACTCTTGGGACAGAGAAAAGGCTGGGCTCAAAAAGGTCTCTGACATTGTAGGGGAAAGACAGCATGACTTCCTCAGAATTAAATGAAAAAATCTACACAGCCTCAGCTCATGGCCTGGCATCTGTAAGCTGTTACCTTAATCTTACGATTAATTAATAAGTGGCTCCCCAAACCCACTGCCTTGTAATTATGTGGGGTACTTACATAGAGAGCCTGCAGGGATAGAGTTCAAGAATATGTATTTTAAAAGATTCCTCAGACGACCCGGAACAGTCAGTGAGGCACAGGTCTGTGGACTGGCTCTCGGTGCCAGTGGTACCCCAGAAACGCACAGAGTTCGGTGCTTGGGACTTTGGAATCCCAGGTCTGCTACTACTTGGACAAGTCAACTTTCAAATGGGAATAACAGGACGACAACATCAATTCTGCGGAGCCACAGGAACCGGGGGCAAGTTAGATGCTCACGGGAGGACCTAGCCTCCACCACCGCTACCCGCAGCTGCTCGCTCACACGTGGGCTGGGCACAGGACAACCACATTTGCTGAGCTTCTTCAGGCCAGAGAAACCTGCCCTGCCTCCCAGCCAGACAGCTTTCCCAGGTCCCGGGGCCGCAGCCGCCGCCAGCCTCAGTCTCGCAGGTGGGATGCTTCCATACCCTGCTTCACACCTGGCACACAGGGGGCGCGTGGCGCCCGCAACCCGGCCGGGAGCCCACCGCCCCACCCCCGCCTTGGCCCCGACTCTGACTCCACTCCCAGAGCAGCGCCCGACTCGGGACTCACCATGGTGTCCGCGCAGCCTCTGCGGCGCGGGCTCCACTTCCTGGCCCCACCGCCGGGGCTCAAGGACGACCGGCAGGTCAGAGGTCAAGGCAGCCTGCAGAGGGCGCGTGCGCGAGGCCACCCTAGGCATGCGCATTGTCTAGGTTCCGGGGGGCGGGGCGCCAGTGGTGACGTACACGGCAAGGGCGGAGCCAGATCTGGGCTTGACACTGCGCAGAGCCTTCCTCTGCCACTGGGGACCGACGCTAGAAGCCTCTGGCCCGCGAGTTTATTACGATGCTGGGACAAAAGGGCGATTTCCGCCCCTGAGTTTACCAACATTACATGAAATGAACATAATACGGAGTAGGATTATTAGGTAGATAGAAAGGGATCTCCTGAAACTCTCTTAGGGACACAGCGGATGCCTAGAGCAATTGCTCCACTTGATGAGAAGGATGAGGGTGGACTCGATCTTGATGGTGTCCCACCCATAATCCTATCCTAAGCAACTGCCACACCTGGGAAGGAGGACCACCCCTCAGGCCAGGCAGCCCAGGCACAATAGGATTTGGAAAGTCCCCTAGCAGTGGTTCTCAACCTTCCTAATGCCGCGGCCCTTTAATACAGTTCCTGTGGGTAGCT